ATCTCCGAACCAAACCAACACAAAATGCCGCCACCACCTGAACACGCCGACCACACCACCAACCCACCCGCAGCTGCACTAGCAAAACGGCAGCCACGAGTCACCACAACCGAGGCAACCCAAGAAAACGAAAAAACCCATGAGTTACTTATAATTCACAATTTATAATTACTTAAAGGTACTTCCATACATGCTCATATGGATAAATATGTAATTATGAATAATTTTTCATTCGATTTTCATTCTCTGCAATCTTTTTATTCTTGTCATTTTTGTCAAAGCAGTCTTATTCATCTAGAATGTTGACGATCATTAAGCATTCAGACCAAATGACTCGCTGAATTTATGCTATACTTCTATATATTATGAGTATCATAGCATTTGAGAAGCAAATACAAAGAAATATGGTAGAAGTAATACAACAACCAATGGAGATGTCAAGATCGATGGGCCGGCCAGACCCGTGAAAATCAGCTTGGATCAACCGGGATCGCAGGCCGACCCGTGACCTGAGCGAGCGGTTCACGGGTCAAGGAAGTGTGACCCGCGGGCTTCACGGGTTGCGCCTTCATGGACCGCGATTAACCCGTGGCCCGTGAAAAAAAATTTAAATTTGAAATATATAATTTTTGAACAAATATATAAAAGTAAATAATTGAAATGAGGATATACAAATATTAAAATATATAATTTTTGAACAACTAAATTATAGTTAAGTTCGTATTTGGGCCACATTATTTTTTTTATTCTCATTCTTCTACTCATTTGCAACTACACGTTCTTCAATAAAATAATATTTTTATCACATCTATAACTTTTCCTTCTTTTTCAACCACATATTCTCCATCACATCACTTCAAAAAAATGTATTCTCTCATTTTAATGTGTACCAAACGGGCTCTAAGATTTAAGCAGGTACCAACCTAATTGAGATGTACTTAAACTATAAATTATAATAAAACTAGGTGTCAACCTAGTTGTGATGTACTTATGCTATAAATATTGATAATAGTAATTAGAAATACATTTAATTGTTATTTGTTTAAGTTGAATTTAACTTTACAAAGTTATAAATAATTCATGTAACATTAAATTTGAATTCTATGTAAACATTTCTTGGTATAAATATGAATTTATCATTTTATTCAATTCTTAGTT